TTCTATAAACATACCCTCTAAATTCCTTCTTGGATAATTTTATTGTCTCATCTTCCTCCATGTTTAATGAGATTTTTGTTTGGAATTTTATTTCTATTGTATTATCCTGTTTTTATGTTTGATATGGGGTTGCCTGTTGTTTCCTAGACATTTTGAAGTTGTTGTCTTTAACTGTTAGTTATATATTGATTTGTTTTGCCTTTATTTTATGTTTAAATCTTTTTGCAAGTATGGAGGTGGTGTATTTTATGTTCTTGGTTATTAATTCAGGTGTGCTGGGTTGCTCTGCAGTTTTGTTTTGTTGATAGAATCACTGTGGGGATTGTGGGTACAGGTCTCTGCTTGTCATAAAGGGGAATTAGAGTTGGGATGAAAAGGTATTGTGGTGGCTTAATGTGGTTCTCCTACTGGGTGAAGCTGAGTCGAAGGGGAAAAAGAGGAAGAAAAGAAAAAGAAAAGGAAAAAAAAAAATCATGGTGCCAGTAATAAGTCTCTGCTTTCCACATTTCTGTGGCTACTGCTGGTTCTGGGTTTTTGTTTTGAGTCTAGTTGGGATGGCTATCGATGATGCTTTTTTGTTACTCACAGACCTGCAGTTCAACATTGACAAAGACCCCAGTGGTTAGGATGCCACTACTTTCCATTTGGGTTGGATAGCCGCAAAAACTCCATAATCTGGACTACTCTGTGCGAAAGCTCTGTCCTGAAAGAGCTGGATCCTAGCCTTGCGCTGTGAGCTCATCTCAGGGCCCACCTGCCTGGGTCATGTTTCCTTCCCTCTTCCTTTCTGCTCCCAGCTCAGTGGCAACCTGAGCCAAAGGCATTTCTGCTCTGTTTCTCAGAAATGTTGTCCATTTGCTCAGCTTAGTTCCCAAGGTTACTGTCAGAAGCTGCTGTTGTGGGTAGTCTGAGTCCCCAAAGCCTCTGTTGGCTCCCTGGTATTTCTGCTTTCTTATTTCCTCCACAGTTTACTCCAGTTTTGTTTAGAGAGTTTTCTGTTTCACTGTCTCATCATCTCACACACTTCTTGGCAGGTAAGTTTATTTTTATTTTTTTCTGGCTATTTACCTTTCTTTTTCTTCTTCTTCTTTTTTTTTTTTTTTTTCACTCCTTCTCCACTAAATCTGGCGTTCTCTAACTTCATGAGCTGTTGACAGCCCCAGAATCCTTGCTTCAAACTACTGTACCTAGTTTTTCAGGCATTAAGATGGTAGAGGGAACAAAGATGTGGGCTACAGGTATGACATCATCTTCCTTCCTGCAGTGTAGGTTTTGAGATCAGGAGGTATGAGACCTCCTATTTTGTTCTTCTTCAGCTTATCCTAGGTCTCTTTCCTTTCCATATAAAATTAGTGATTGATTTTTCCATTTCCTTAAACAATGTTGCTGGACTCTGGATTGGATTGCATTGCATGTTTAGATTGCTTTTGATAGGATTGACATTTTTACAATGTTCAGTCTTTTTGTCCATGAACATGGTATATTTTTTGATTTATGTAGGTCTCTTATAGTTTCTTGTAATATTGTTTCATAATTTTCTTTGTATAAGTCTCTTGTGTCCCTGGTAAGATTTATTTCTAAGAATTTTATCTTTTTTTTTGTTGTTGTTATTTGCTGTTGAGTCGTACCCAACCAAGGCGGTATCTCTGTGAAAATAGATTGCCCAGTCTTCCTTCTGAGGAGTGGCTGGTGGGTTTGAACCACCAGCCTTCTGGTTAGCAGTCAGATGCCTTAGGCACTATGATGCTAGAGATCCTATAATGTGTATAGATTGGTAAAATGTAGCATTTGGAATTTGCTTTAGAAGACTCTATAGGGAAAAATCCCTGGGGTTGGTGTGTTGACTGGGGATGGATAAATGAAACAATCTTGATAGATTGTTGATATTAGAAGGTGGTTGTTGGCCACATGGGTATTTCTACCTTTTTGTGTTAGTGAAAATTTCTAAGATAAGTTTTTTTTTTCTTTGAAAAGAGTGTGTTAAGTTTGTAGTATGGATATCATAGTAGGAAATGAAATAAAGGGAATTAAGTATCAATACATTCAAAGCAAGTGGTAGCAATTTATTCAATGCATTTGTTGCTTAAGTTTCTCAAAAGTAAGAAAGAGAAAAACTAAAAGAAAAGGCAGCATATTCATTTCATTATTTTTCTGGTTACAATGCTGTTACTCAGTTATTCTCATTATTTATTATACATATTTTTTTGTTAAAGATACCCATAAGCTTTTCCTTTGTTTTCAGAAGGGCTTAAGTTGGGAGTCACCATACAAATCACATGTGACTTACTATTTAGGTCAAAAGAGTAAAATATGCTTGACCATACTTTCTTTTGAGGAGTGTGACTACTTGAAAGACCATGGACCCACATGATGAAGATAATCATGGTGACGTAGGTTGAGATTGAAGATATCTGTATTCTAGTTCTAGTTCTGTTACCTATACTATAACGATCTTGGGAAAGCATCTTAGCTTTTCAGGTTCTCGATCTTCTATAAAATCAAAAGATTGTCCTGAGAGTTCTTTTAGCTAATAGAAATCTTCACTTCTGAGGTCCACCATATGCATAACCACAAATGTTATTGATTCTAAAGTGTTCAGTGGAAGATGTCAGTTCTTTCCTTTTTTTCCCTCCTCTTATATCGTTCGGGAGCTCTGGTAGCGTAGTGGTTAAAGCACTTGGCTGCTAACTGAAAGGTTGCCATTTCCAACCTACCAGCTGTTTCTCAGGAGAAATATGTGGCAGTCTGCTTCCATAAAGACATACCAAAAACCAAAAACACTGCCGTCAAGTCTATTTAGACTCATAGCGACCCCTCCTTGGGCTTACGAGGCGGTATCGCTACGGAAGTAGATTGCCCAATATTCCTTCTGAGGAGTGGCTGGTGCATTTGAACCTCTAGCCTTCTGGTTAGCAGTCAAATGCCTTAGGCACTACACCACCAGAGTTCCCCCATAAGACATATAGCCTTGAAAATCCTATGAGGGCAGTGACTGTTTCTTGTAGGGTCACTATGAATCAGAATTGATTGGAGGACAGTGAGTTTGGTTATTTTCATCACAAAAGAAAGAATGTTATACATTTAAAACTTTGCTTGAAGTATTTTTATTGCATCCTTTTCCTAATCATTTGTATTTTAATCCTTTTATCTTTAGTTCTTCGGTTCTGGGATAGACCTATTATGTATGGTTAAAGTAATTTTAGTCCTAGGTAGAGAGAATGAAATGCTAATCTGTTCATGTATTTAGTTAGTTGTACAATTATTGTTTGTTCACTTCTTCTGATTCTGTAGTAGCTGATAGATGAGAATCTGTCTGCTCCTATGGTTTCTTTCATGTAATAACTGAAAAAACCTTGTTTTCTGGTAGGAAGGGACTGAGAGAGATTATTTGGATAAGCAAGCCTAGATAAGTCTTTCTCTTGTGTAGCTTTAGGTTGGCTATTTCAATCCATATGTTACAAAGTTTCTCAGTTTCAGCAGTGGCAACAACTAGGTTTGTTACTTTGGATTGTTTGGGATCAAATCTGGAAAATCTTAGACATTCATAATGTAATTTAAAGTAAAAGGAACAATATTTTCCTTGCTTTCCATCTGTTCCTATTACTCTTTGGCCCTGCCTTTCTCCATCTGTCTCTCCCTTCCTCTCTCTGTCCTTTTCTTTTATAGCATGAGGTTTTAGACTATCGCTGATGCATAGCTTATCCCAGGCATTTTGTAAATATGGATATAGGCCCAGATTTTAAGGAATTCACAGTCTAGTTAAGACCAACCTATAAAAGGACAACTCATGGTAATTGATGTGTGATATGAAGAAGAAGTTTGTTAATACTCATGTATTTGAGTTTAGGGTTATATGTAATTTATAACACTATATAACAGATGAAACTTTTTTCCCCCAAGTATTTTAAGTATGTATTATATTACTGTTATTGTAGATGACTATGAAATTAACAACTTTTTCTCCATTATTGGCTTTTCCAAAGGTATGCTTTATCTACGTTTTTTTGAATAAGTTATTTTATTTGTTTATTTTTTAATTGTGCTGTAGGTGCAATTACAGAGAAGAGTTTGTATACAAGCATTTCGTGTACATTTGGTTTCACTCCTGAGTTACCATCCTCGACCCTAACACACTCTCTTTCCCTCCCTTCCCAGTAACTGCCCTCCCCTTCTGTGCTCCTCATAGTTATGCACTCCTGTGTGTCCTGCATTTCCTCCATGTGAATGTTTCCCCTCTGGGGCCCCATGGTCCATTGCTCCAAGGGATGCATCTCCATAGGGTATGTGGGTGCGTCACCCTGGGTTGAGTGGTCTGCGTGTACATCTTATTTACTATTGGGCTGAGAGCCAGCCCTTGGGGCTGAGTTTTATTCCAGGTCCAAAGTGTATCCCAGGGCCATAGTATTGGGGGTCCCACCAGATTCCATCTGACCAATAATTCTGGTCGTTATTGTGTTTTTGGATTTTGTTCCAGGTTTTTCCTCCCACTCTATCTATATAGGATCTCTGCTTTTGATCCCTTCCTCAGTGGTCTGCATTGTTAGCCGGGCACCATCTAATTCTGGTCTCGAGGTCTATCATGTCCCAGGATTGATTGCTTCCAAATGTCCTTAGTTGTTTCATTCTTCTTCGCTTCTGACAATAGGAGACCATTAGCTGAATCTTTGATGGCCATTCGGAAACTTTTAAGAGCCCGGTCGCTACCCACCAATGTAGGTTGTGGAATAAGATTTTTATGTATTTTGTTGTGCTAGTTGAGTCAGTTGTCCCCCTGTACTATGGTACTGAGTCAGCGGATCCATTGGATAAAAGTCTTTATGGGCAATAATCCTTTTTCCATATGCTGGAGCATATTTAGTGTTATGATCCGTTGAAACCTCAATTGTTAAAAATCGTGCATAAAATGACATCCTTGAACAGTTTTACTAAATTCTGGGATGTATTTCTGTTAGGCTGCATGCCCTGTGCTCTGACCTGATTGTAATATAATTATTTTATAGGATGGGATCTTTAAGATGAGCCTTTCTCCAGATGGGACTCTCCTTGCAGCCATTCACTTCTCAGGCAAATTAAGCATCTGGGCTATTCCATCTTTGAAGCAACAAGGGGAATGGAATCAAAATGAACAGGTATGTCTTTTGGTTAAGACTTTTGTTAGAATGATGCTTTCTTAAGGGTGAGTGCTGACAGTTCTAATTTTGTTTTATTGTTAACTTGCTATAATGCACTGCATTTTTTTAGTCTTTTCATTCTAAAGCTGTCCTATTCTTTAAGTTAGGAGCTCTCGTAGCATAGTGCCTAAGGCACTTGACTGCTAACCAGAAGGCTGGCGGTTCAAACCCACCAGCCACTCCTTGGAAGGAAGGTTGGGCAATCTACTTCCGTAGTGATACTGCCTTGGAAACCCAAGGAGAGGTCGCTATGAGTTGGGTCCGACTCAACGGCACACAACAACAACAACAGCAGCAACTTTTGGGAGGATCCTGATGTTCTGATCATATGTGGGAGATTTCATTTTTGGGAAAAATGTTTTTTAAATGTTGAATCTTTGAATACAAAGTATTTTCTCCCTGGCTTTTTGTTTTCTTAACTGATTTTCATTCACCTAATAGAATATTGACCAACATCTAAAGCACACTAATAACACTAATATTTCATTTTGTGAGTATTCTGGAATGTTATACATGCAGGTAAGGGCTATTCACAGCAACATTGTATAGTATGCTCTTTTGGCTTATTGCAGTAGTAGATACATTTTTTTGCCTGCAGAGATAGATTGCATCTGCTGTAGCCCTTGTTGGCATATGCTCAATTTTTCATCTGATTAGGAGTTTTTTTTTTTTAATTAGTTGCTAGTAAATGCCATTATAATCCAGTAATCTTTATTTATTAATTTTTTTCATAAAGTAATTTTATAGTGATTTTTCTAGGGCATTAAGATTTTTATAGTGCTTTTTTTTTTAAACCACAACCCCCCCGATCCTCAAAACCTGGAAATGATTTAAGTGTAATATGTGAGTAGTTTGAAAAATGCTATCAGAAAAGTAATGGGATAGGAAGGAAATCAGAAATGGAAAAGAGGTACCTGGTAGGTGGAGATGAGTTCAGACTAGAAGTTTTTTTCTTGCATGGACTCCTCAGTCTTTTGAACAGAAATACTCTGAGAGCTTAGGCAGATAGTTCACCAGAAATTGCTGTTGCCTGATTGTTTCCTACTAGATTCTCAGATAGTGTATTTGACTTTTAAGTGAATCTCTCAATCAGAGGAGGAATGTACCTTGATTCTCAAACTAGATTTACCTTTTGTTACAAACTCACCAACTTGTTTTAAGGCTTGTTGTTTTTCTTATTTAGTTGGTATAAATTATTTCTCATGAATGCCTGCGTAAACTGGAAAAAACAGGTTTTTGGGCTTGCAAAACTGAAAACCAGACCATAGTCCTGGTTCCTGTGATGAGCTTTGGTGGGGTTGTGGCTAAGGCATTTGACTGCAAACCAGAAGGCTGGTTGTTTAAACCCACCAACCACACTTCTTGGAAGGAAAGTTGGGCAATCTGCTTCCATAGAGATACAGCCTCGGAAACACAAGGAGGGGTACCTATGAGTCGAATCGACTTGATGGCAGTGAGGTTTTTTTTTTTTTTTGGTATCCTTTGCTGAGGGAAGCAGTGGCTTAGGTTTAGTTACTGAACCTAATCCTGCTTTCACTGCCACTCTCACTGCTTACTTAGCATACTGCCTCATTACAGAATTCATCACAGCACACACCAGTGACTGCCTGTCCTCCATTTTATGGTGCTTTTTAGCACATGGTGGAGCTCTGGTGGCATAGTGCCTAAGGCATTTGACTGCTAACCAGAAGGCTGGTGCTTCAAACCCACCAGCCACCCCTTGGAAGGAAGATTGGGCAATCTACTTCTGCAGTGTTACTGCCTTGGAAACCTAAGGAGGGGTTGTTATGAGTTGGATCCAAGTTGAGGGCAGTAAATTTGATTTTTGGTTTAGCACGTGGACAGACTGTAGGGGAATCTGTCCTCTGAGACTCCAGTCAGGTTTAGCCACAAAAGAAATTCTTTTTGATGGAACATAGAAGAAATTTAATTTTACCCATTCTTGGCTTTAAAAGAGTAAGGTTATTTTAGAGTGTAGACTCCTTTCACCTGCCATCTTTCCTAGTCTCATGATTATGCTGCTTTATACCTGTGCCCTTGACCCTCTTTTCCCTCTTGGCTTCCTACTTTTGTCTAACCCTTTCTACTGCATTTTCTGAACCTTCATTCCATTGTGAGCACACCCCTATGAAGCCTCTTCTTTTCTGCCGAACATTATTTTGTATGTTTTTTTTTTTTTTTGCCTCTGTGTTAAATAAACTTAACTATAAGCTTATATAGCTGGTAGGATTAAGGTATGTGTATACAATATTCTTGTAGTTTTTACAGAATTAATAATAGCATCAGTTATTCCTTATTGAATACTTTGTCTCAGGGTTGAACAATAAGTAAGAAGAAGAGCTGATGTATGATTTCATAGCTCTTTAACTCTAATGTCTGTTTTTTCCATAAATGTATAGAAAAATAAATACATTTAAAAAGGTGGGAAAAAAAGAACATATTTATTAGGCTAATAAATGCCAATGTGTCCTGTGTGTATACTTTTCCCCACAATATTTGATATGTCATTGTCATTATTGCTAGGTGCTGTTGAGTTGGCACCAACTCATAGTGACCCTGTCTCCATCAGAATTTAATACTGCCTGGTCCTGCACCATCCGCACAATACTTGATATGATGAGTACATTGCAGCCACTGTTTCAGTCCATCTCATTGGAGGACTTCCCCTTTTTCTTTACCAAGTATGATCTCTTTCTCCAGGGACTGGTCCCTTTTAACAACATGACCAAAATAGATGAGACAAAATCTGGCCATTTTTGCATCTAAGGAGCATTCTGGCTATACTTTTTCCAAGACAGATTTGTTTGTTCTTCTGGTAGTCCATCATATTTTCAGTATTCTTTACCAACACTACAGTACAGATGTATCAATTTTTCTTCAGTCTTCCTTACTCATTGTCCAGCATTCACATGCATATGAAGCTATTGAAAATATCATGGCTTGGGTTAGGTGCACCCTAATCTTCAGGGACAACTTTGCTTTTGCACACTTTAAAAAGAAGTCTTTTGCAGCAGATTTGCCCAGTCAGTAAATCATCTGATTCCTTGACTCCTGCTTCCATAGGCATTGATTGTGGATGAATCAGTAAAATGAAATCCCTGATAACTTATATGTTTTTTCCATTTATTGTGATGCTGCTTATTGGTCCAGGTGTAAGGATTTTGTTTTTTCATCATGTTGAGGTATAGTCCCTACTGAATGCTGTAGTGTTTGATCATCATCAGCAAATGCTTCAAGTTCTCTTCACTTTCAACAAGCAAGATTGTGTCATCTGCATGTTGCAGGAGAATCCTCCTCTAATCCTGATGCTGCATTCTTCTTCATGTAGTCCATCTTCTAGGATTATTGGCTCAGCATACATCTTGAATAAGTATGATGAAAAGATACAACCCTGTCATACACCTTCCCTGATTTTAAGCCATTCATTACCCCTTGTTCTGTTTGAACAGCTTGCTCTTGTTCTATATGAAGGTTCCTTATGAGCACAATTAAGTGTTCTGGAATTTCCATTATTTGCAATGTTATCATAATTTGTTATGATCCATGAAGTCGAATGCCTTTGTGTAGTTAGTAGAACACAGGTAAACATCTTTGTGGTATGTAGGAGATCCTGGATAGAGTGGGAGAACAAGATGGAATAAAACTCAAAATCATTGGGAAAAAAAGGACCATGTGTGATGGTTTGATAGAGCCTGAGGGAACCACTGAGACTATGGCCCCTAGCTGCCCTTCACATCTGAAATTGAACCCACTCCTGTTGCTTCCAGCCAAACAAAAGACAGGCATATGAGCTGAACATTTACATTAGGTAGATACACTCCTTGGAGAGAACAATCATGGGAGAATTGAAGGGCTGTGTGTGCACAGGGACATCGCTCAGGGTTTAGGAGTGTATGGGAGGGAAGGACACAGGGAAGAGGTAACTATGGGGAGGAAGTGGGAGGGGAGCTGTTGCATTGTGGGAAATTGTAGTCAGTGTCTTAAGACAGTGTGTGTGAGCTGCTGTATGGAAAGTGAATTTGCTCTGTAAACTTTCACCCAAATTACAATTAAAAAAAAAAAAAAAACTTGAGAGGAAAAGTACATATTTCCATTGCTGATACCCTGGAGAAGGATTGTTGGAAATAAGGTAAATTTTTTAGTGAGGCTTTGCTGTTTGCAGAACACTTTTCATTTGCCACAGAACAGCCTTTTTAAGTAAAATATGTTGTATTCCTATTTTAATAGATAGCATAGTGCTAAAAGAAGTTAATGTGAACTCACTTAGTGTAAAAATCAAGATTCCATGTTGACTCAGGTCTTCTGACTTTATAAGTGCAAAAAGGGCAGAGAGACCACATATTCTGACCTCCTCTAACTCCTCAAGAGGAAGACAGAATCACCATCAATAGCCCAAGGCCTATTACTGCAAGGCCAGACATGCTGCCTCCCTCCAGCCCTTTCACTCACGGTTCCTTCCAAAGCACCCACCACCTCTCTCCTGGGTTCCATAATTCACTGCAGTGGCCACACAGAACTCACAGATTACGGGGTTTATTAGAGAATCACCAGGCTACAATTCAAGTTCAGGAAAAATGCTCAGTCTCTCTCCCAGCCCATAGTCTGTCTCCCAACAGTGCACGTTCCTTGGTGTCTTACTCAGCAATGCGTATCACTTTCAGGAGCACATGTCTCTTTCAGCAGTACATCTTCCTCAACCAGCAGTCAGAGAGACACAACTTCTGCCTCTAGGGGCCTGGCAGAGTGGCCAAACTAACCAATCATAACATCAGAATTCGAAGCACCTGAGAGAGAGCAGAACCCTCCCAGAACATTGTTTTGTGTTGTGCCGAACAGAAATACCCCAGGTGGATAACTTTTACAATCAGGAGTTCCTCAGTTGCTCACAGCAAATTCCACCATGGAGTTTACAAAGACTTATGGCTAGAAAAGCCACACTAAGTAATTTATTACACCGC